GACTTGTTTGTTCACAATTAAATAGTGTTTAATTTATGGCTCCTTAAAATCAGTTTTATTTTTCTCCAAATCCTGTGTTTTACGTTTTATCGTTACTGGATTCCGTGTTTTATGATTTAATACAAATTTATCATCAATAAAATGAATTTATAAACTTTAAAAGATTAATTACATTGTTAAAATATAATCAAATGAAAATACAACAACTGTTTTACAACAAAACATTGCATTGTTATTTGTGTCAAATAAGATGCTGCACAAAATAGCTGTGTTAATTAAAACATGGATGAATAAATATCTTGGTTCCTTAAAAATATTATTACTATTATTATTACTTATTGGAAGTGCATTTTGGAATGCAATAGTAATTTATTTCCGTCACAATTTCCTCAAGTAAAACCGAACTTTTATTTTGGCGGTTTGTTGTGAAGATCTGGATGTGATATGGTTTATCGCCCAGCTCTACTGAAACTTTAGAGGGAAGCTACCAGCCAAACTGAAAAGCATTGCTTACGCATTTACTGAAAGAAGATATTTTGAGAAATGTCTCACTTCGTCCACGACTGCTAAATGAGTTCCACAGAAGTCATAGAGGTTTGAATGACATGAGGGCGAGTAAATGATTATTGACTCTTTAGCATTCAGTAAGAGTCTAACATGAGGACGGTCAGTTTCTCATGATGTTGTCTGAGGGTTTGGACACTGATAATGCAGGTTCTCCTGCGGCTGATGTGATAACGCCTCTTTGTTCTGCTCGTCTCACACAAGCTCTCCAGGCCTTCAGAGTGAGCTGAGGCTCATCTTCTCCGTCAGGAATCCTCCAGGGCCGTTTTAAAGTCAAAACTTCCACTTTGCGATATCAGAATGCAATTTGTGGCGTCAGGAGCGTAAGCTGCTTTAGCGCTGCTGTTTATTTTGCAGCGGCGGAGGCTTTTATCTGAAAGGGAGCGTAATCCTCGGCGCTGAGATGTTGCTGACAGCTTTGAGTCTCTTTGTGTCTGAGCGCTGAGAAACGGCTTCTGTTAAACCCCATCCAGCACACGAACCTCCGGCTGTGAGCTCCAGATAGCATCTGCACATGCGTCAGTCTAAACTCAGAGAATATGGAGACGCCTGCAGAGGTTATTTACACTTGTTTATTAACAGAAACTGGGAGCGTCGATATACACAATGCTGCAGTGATGACGTGTTTCTGTACGTTGTAGCTTCACTCTGGTTGTCTCATTAGTGCAGATAATACGCTCTGTGACTGACAAAGATTCTTACATGTTTTGTTCATCATGACAATCTTCAGAAACAAACATGAATTTTGAAGCCTAAATACAATCAGCAGAAAACATGCATGAAGTATGACAGTGAATATTGTCTTAAACGTTTCCTATATGTTCAGAAATGATATAAAATAAGAAAAATGCTAAAGATTTCTTGACCAAAACATTCCGTTTCAGAGGTCGACTCATAAAGTCCAGACGATTCAGACTCTTCATGTCTGTCAGTATAAGAGCAGCAGCAGCGTTCAGTCTGTCAGCATCACGCGTTGCGTCTCGCTCATGAACATGCATCTAAAAACACAGCGCTTGAGTTAAAGAAGCTTGCGTTTTTCCTGCGTCTGGTGTGATTTTGTGTTTTTAGCGAGAGAACTATATGTGACCCTGGAGCACAAAAGCAGACTTAAAGGAACACTCCACTATTTTTGAAAATAGGCTCATTTTCCAACTCCCCTAGAGTTAAACAGCTGAGTTTTACCGTTTTCGAATCCATTCAGCCGATCTCCGGGTCTGGCGGTAGCACTTTTAGCTGTAGCTTAGCATAGATCATTGAATCTGATTAGACCGTAAAACTTAATTTTTGATTAGTAATATGCATTGCTAAGAACTTCATTTGGACAACTTTAAAGATGATTTTCTCAATATTTAGATTTTTTTGCACCCTCAGATTCCAGATTTTCAAATATTGTCCTATCCTAACAAACCATACATCAATGGAAAGCTATTTATTCAGCTTTCAGATGATGTATACATCTCAATTTCGAAAAATTGACCCTTATGACTGGTTTTGTGCTCCAGGGTCACATATTTTAAATAATTTTGGGTCATCCTGCAGCTCTCTGGATGGTCTGAGTCCGAGATCTCAGTATGAACCGAATAATTTCCCATCAGAGGATGTGATCTGTCCTGTATGTGTTTTATCCCACTTCTGTTCTGAAATGATTTCTTAAACTTGACTTTTATATGTGTATATTGATGTTCTCTGTAAAGCACTTTAAATGATGATCATATGATCTGGTTTTGAGCAGGAACGCTTCCTCTCTCCTGAATAATGATTGCTGCTATTGTTGTTGTTTTGTCTCTCTATACGTCACTTTCTATACTCTCCTCATGAGCGCTCCAAATTAGCACCAATTATTCTAAGTGTAAAATTAAATTACAGGACTGGAGCTGCTCTGTAAACTCTGCACGCGGATCACATAACAACACAATCAATTTAGATGCTTTTCTCCCGCATTGCTCTTCTGCCTCGCGGTGAGACGATGACTGCCAGCGCAAGCTTTGAAAGAAACACAGAGCTGTGATCTACGACGCCAGATGCTCAATTAATGAGAAATCTCCATTAGAAGAATTGCATGACACAGCTGATATCAGGAGCGGAGAAGAAATGAGATCTGCAGGAAAGCTCTCGGGAGAAAGGGAAACATGAGACGGACGCTCCTGCACGAACAAGTGTTAGTTCAGCATCATCAGCTTTGAGTCTGTTTGACTTGTTTTAGTATTTCACAGTTCAACTCAATGAAAATCAGAAATGCTGCTTTGGCAACTAGCTGAAATAAAAGAAAACTTATTCAAGGTTCTTTTATTTCAATGAACAAAAATGTTTTATAATGGTTTTAGTTAACTATAGTAACCCTGGTGAGTGTTATTTAAGCATCGCTCGCTAATGTCTGTCCTGTGCACTGAACTCTCTCTCCTCCACATCATGAGTAGACACGCCCCTTACTGCTGATTGGTTACTATTTTTTTTTCTATTCTATTTCTATTTCTATTGTTTTCTTAAGCGTTTTTGAAAAATCGCTTACCCCACCTTTAATTGCCAAATTCAATGACACTCCAGACTTTCTATTAAACAATCTGATTTAATGCAAGACAACAGTTTTATTTAGTAAGATCTATGAAGGACATTGCGTTCGGCCCTTTCCTAGTAAAATCTGACTTTGAGCAGCTCCCAGAAGTGAGGAGCTCGTCATTCGCTCTTTCATTGGTTTGTGCTGTTAACCAGCTTCTAGTTTATTAACACAACTGTTGTTCTCTTCAGGAGGGGCACAGACACATTTACTGGCATTTTAATTCCAGGGCAGCTCGTCAAGCGCTGCTTTAATGAATGACAGGCCGTGGCTGTGAGTGAGACCCGCTCCGCTCCGGGAGTTTATCTGCTGATGCTCGATCTGCTCTTACTGCGTCTGATCAGAGTCTCAGAGATCACATGATCATCAGATGTGTTGAGTGATATATCAGTGTGTGTATGTTGATGGATCACGGATTATGAACACACACACACACACACACACACAGACGTTTACTATATAAATAATGGAATTGCATAGACGTCTATTGTTTGTGTGTACAGATACAGATATAATAACCCACACACTGATCCAAACGGAAAACTTTCTGCGTTTTTATACAGTTTTTACAAACAAGCGTGTCCACAAAAGGAGGTTTTGGGCAGCAGTGCACCAAAATTTCAGCAACTGAAAATTTTCAGCTGAAACAGCAATTTTTGGTTTCGACAAAATCATTGACTGAAAGAGTGACGCTTCATTAGTGTTTCTCTGTGTTCTGACAGTCAGTGTCTGTTTCGTGCATACCTCCAGTAAGCACAAGTTGCATTTTGTTACTTTTAATATGAAACAAAGTCCCAGCTTTCAAATTCTGTCAATTGTATCACTAAATTCAACCAATAAATATAAAAGTTTTGATGCTTTTTAATGTGTGCTGACAGATCATCTCTTCCTCTTTACTACTAGTTATAGCAGCAAATAAACACAAATGAACATCAGAAGAATCAGAGCAACCTACTGAAATGAATTTAATGTATGTTTGAATAAATCTTATTACAGACACCGTTTGATTTTTGATTTTTCCACGACAAAATGGAGCAGAAACCACTCTGTTAGAAGAAAACTGCCTTATGTGCAGTGCAAATGTTTCTACAAGTCAGGTTTTATTTGCGAGGTAATTATTACATTTGATCAATTTTTGTTTTCCAAAAATGAAGTACTTGCGATTAGAGTATATTACATTTTGAAATGCTCATAATCAGACTACAGTTACTGTTTTATGGATTACGTGATTACATATTATTCAGTAAATGATTCGTAATTAACTGATTCTCCATAATTCTTTTTCTTCTTTTAAACTTTCCTTTGTAAAAATCCTGAAAATCAAAAAATTGTATATACTTAATTTCTCTTAGATTTTTTTTGTATCAATATGATGCATTTAAAAGACGTTTGATAAAAAAAAAAAGTTATCTAAAAAGTAGTCCGATTACATTACCTAAAATAAGTAACCTAGATTACTACTTCATCATGTAATCTGGAATCAGTAAGGGACTATAATTTGTGAGTAATCTACCCAGCTCTGAGTGCGAGCCGCTGCGGATACATCTGAATGTAAAGCGTGTTTGTGTCACGCCGATCGTCCCGCAGCAGGTTTGATCGCTCTGTTTTTCTCCCAGAATCTTGTGCAGAAGGATCATGCTCTGATCTGCAGTGATTTGTGGGTAATTTGTTGCACAAGGAAACTGGTGCGTCCCTGAGAGAAGCAGAGGTCAGAGGTCAGCGTGTAAATCAGAGCGCTGTATATAAGTCCGTCCCATCGCTCCGAGGTTCATGTCAGCAGTTCCCCGTTTTACCCATGATGCTCAGCGGTGCGATCGATCTCTGGCATATGTTCCGCTCAGCCAATTAAAGCGATCTGCTGATCAGGTGTGTGTTTCTGCAGGCTGAAGTTCAGAAGTGATCGAGCGGAGCGGCAGGAGGCAAACATGCGGTCGCAGGCCTTGTTGCTGTATTTCACGGTGCTGCAGACGGCCGGAGCCGCTTTCCCAGAAGACACCGAGCCAATCAGTATTTCACACAGCAACTGTGAGTAACTGCATCTCACCTCCTCGCTTTGTCTCGTCTTGTTCTCGTCCCGCCATCTTTTTCTCACATCAGTTCTGTGAAATGTGATTCTGGTGCCCAGAGAAACTGTAAATTTAGTTTGAGTCTGTGAGACTTCAGACATCCTCTTTTGTTTTGCTTGTCAGGATGAAAGACTTACACACACACACACTCACACACACACATACACACACACACACACATTTGTGACTCTCACTGTCTCACTTAAAGGCCCTCATTTTCTGTTTCATTTACATGTTTCTTTTCCTCTCTATATTCTGAAGGTTTGTTGATAATTCATTCACACTGATTTATACAACATTTTACTCCTAAAAACATGGTGAAAATGTGTTTGCGTTCTGTCTGTTGACAGTATTTTCTGATTTATGGAGCGATAAAAAGAGAAACCAAAAAACCTTTAACTCTAATATGACAAGAAAATCAAACAAGAATTATGAACTTGGCTTTATGCAATGTTCAGATTTATTCTCTTGTGAAATGTATGCAAATGAGTGCATATTTAATTAGATAGTGCCTCATTTGCATATTTAAACATTGCATTTCAGAAAACTTGTTTGCAATTCTTAATGTAATCAATCAACTAGGGAAGTATGATAATGTCTATTGTTTTAAAGATTAACATTTTTTACCCTGTAGTGTCTTGCCTTAAATCATCGAAAGAAATGAGTTTAAAATAAAATCAATCGAAATAAAGCATTTACTCAAAAGATTAAACATTAAAAAGATTAGTCCATCAGACTCTCAGTAATGTCACCAGTGTTCTGGCCTGTTTTCCTGAACGACTGTAGCTCTGCTGAAGGTTTATTGTCCCGTGTGGATTTCACAGGCTCTTTAATGAACTGATGTTTTGCCGTGAAGCGTCTCGCTGCTGAACGAGTGTGAATCAAACTCTGTTCCTCTTCCTTCCCCGTCAGATACCAAACAATATCCAGCGTTCGTGGGACACAAACCGGGAAGGAACAACACGCAGCGGCACAAACTGGACATTCAGCTGATCGTCATCATGAACCACACGCTCTATGTGGCCGCCAGGTGAGTTTGCTATTTAAAGATCGGCCCTGTTTTTAGCAGAGACTGGGAAAGCGCAGATTGAGCAGATTGTTGGCATGGTAACCAGCAGCCCATTCCAGCAGCCCATTCACGGCATATGGACGGGAACGAGCACATGTCCAGGAGTCCGCGAGCCAGCGGCTGTGTGAATCAGACGCTCATTAGTGCTTTACATACATTTATCAGGGATTCTGCGATCTTAAGAAGTCTTAGTTTGCCTTTCCACAAATGAAGGGCTTAATTAAAATGGAGAAGAAAGTCTTAAATTCATAAAGTCGTGGCATTAAATGTTGCATGCACTGCAAAAAATGAATCTCTTCCTCCGTATTTTTGTCTTGTTTTCCAGTTCAAATATTTAAGCATCCTTAAATCAAGATTTACCTGAGATGCACAATGAAGATATGAAGTCTTGTTTTCTGAGAACTTAAGAAACTAACTTGAAAAACCATAAACTTGGAATTAAAATAAACTTTAACTGAAATAAAATAAAAACTATTTAAAAAACATAAACATTTCATTTCAGTACTCCAATAAAAATGAATAAAAACATAGATTTTTTTATTTTTTAAAAACCTAATAAAATGGACAAAAACAACAAAATTTCTTAACTAAAATTAAAATGAATACAGATCATATAAAAATGAAAACTAATTAAGATATTAATACAAATTAATACATATTTAAAAATAATTTTAAAAAATAATAAAATAAATTAACTAACTATAAACTATAAATTAACACTGGTTAGGAGTTGTGTTTTCAATGTTTTGAAGCGTTGCTAATTCAACTTAGGAAACATATCGGTGTATTGTGGTTCCTTTCATTTATTTATTTAAACTTTCTTTAAGTGGTCTTAAAAAGTCTTAAATTTACCTTCATAAAACCTGTATTTTCACAACATTTTAAAATTCTTACAGGTTGTGAAGATCTCTTCATTAATTTAACAATCCTATAGCTCTCTCTGTGTGTGTGTGTGTGTGTGTGTGTGAGTGTGAGTGTGAGTGTGTGTGTGTGAGTGTGTGTGTGAGTGTGAGTGTGACCATCCCTTACCGACCCAAACCCTCAGGATCGCCTGTCATTTTTGCAGGAGGACAGGTGAGTGTTTTAATGCTCCTGCGGTGTGTGTGTGTGTGTGTGTGTGTGTGAATGATCTTAAATTTTAATTCTCATGATAAACATTGACGTGTTTTGGCCAGAGATACAGAGAGTTACACCTCATCACACTCTGATTGATTGATTGATTGATTGCTGCAGGCTCCGCCCACTCACTCTCCACTAATGAAAACGCTGGAGCTCTGATTGATTGATAGCTGTAGGCTCCGCCCACTCGTCCTCTACCACTCAGATCTCAGATCTCTGATTGCAGGAGGTTTGAAAGCTCTTGTGGTGGATCAGTATCTCTCTGACCGTCTGATGGTGAGATCACAGCACTTCTCTCTCTGTGTCGCTCGTTGTTCCTCTGTGGTTTGGTAAATTATGTTTCCTGCTTTGAGCTCCAGTCTCTTCTTGGCTTTTTGTTGTTTTGTGGCTTTATTTAGGCCTGTATTTTAGGCCTGTAGTGACTCAACAACACCACTGAGAAAAGAGTTTTCTTTGGAGTTTCTCTCCAGTTTGTTTTGTTTCTTGAAGCTTCAGTGCAGCTCAACAAAATCCAGTGAGGAACGATTAGTGAAAGTTGAAGGAATGAATGAAAGAAAGTTGAATGAAAGAAAGAAGAATGAATGGATGAAAGAAAGTTGAAGGAATGGATGAAAGTTGAAGGAATGGATGAAAGTTGAATGAATGGACGAAAGAAGGTTGAATGAATGAATGAAAGAAGGTTGAATGAATGGATGAAAGAAAGTTGAATGAATGGATGAAAGTTGAAGGAATGGATGAAAGAAGGTTGAATGAATGAAAGAAGGTTGAATGAATGGATGAAAGAAAGTTGAATGAATGGATGAAAGTTGAAGGAATGGATGAATGGATGAAAGTTGAATGGATGAATGGATGAAAGTTGAAGGAATGAATGAATGAAAGTTGAATGAATGGATGAAAGTTGAAGGAATGGATGAAAGAAGGTTGAATGAATGAAAGAAGGTTGAATGAATGGATGAAAGAAAGTTGAATGAATGGATGAAAGTTGAAGGAATGGATGAATGGATGAAAGTTGAATGGATGAAAGAAAGTTGAATGAATGGATGAATGGATGAAAGTTGAAGGAAGGAATGGATGAAAGAAGGTTGAATGAATGAAAGAAGGTTGAATGAATGGATGAAAGAAAGTTGAATGAATGGATGAAAGTTGAAGGAATGGATGAATGGATGAAAGTTGAATGGATGAAAGAAAGTTGAATGAATGGATGAATGGATGAAAGTTGAAGGAATGAATGAAAGAAGGTTGAATGAATGAAAGAAAGTTGAATGAATGGATGAAAGTTGAATGGATGAAAGTTGAAGGAATGGATGAAAGTTGAAGGAATGGATGAATGGATGAAAGTTGAAGGAATGGATGAATGGATGAAAGTTGAAGGAAAGGATGAAAGTTGAAGGAATGAATGAAAGAAAGTTGAATGAATGGATGAAAGTTGAAGGAATGGATGAAATTTGAAGGAAGGAATGGATGGATGAAAGTTGAAGGAATGAATGAAAGAAAGTTGAATGGATGAAAGTTGAAGGAATGGATGAAATTTGAAGGAAGGAATGGATGGATGAAAGTTGAAGGAATGAATGAAAGAAAGTTGAATGAATGGATGAAAGTTGAAGGAATGAATAACTGAAAAAGTTGAATGAATGGAGGAAAATAAGGAATGAATGGATGGATGAAAGTTGAAGGAATGAAGGGATCAAAAAGCTGAAGGAAAGAAGGGATGAAAAAGCTGAAGGAAGGAAGGGATGAAAAAGCTGAAGGAAGGAAGGGATAAAAAATCTAGATTGATCTGATGCATATTAATTCTGGATTTAGTTGATTATGTTGAGCTTGTGTGTTCAGAACAACAAATTCAGACCTCTGTAGATGTGAGAGATTGAACTGGAGTTTCTCAGAGTGTGTGTTGCAGTGGACATGATGTGAAACACACTCATTCACTCACTCACACTCTCTCTCACTCACTCACTCACTCACTCACTCACACACACACACACACACACACTCTCTCTCTCTCTCTCTCTCTCTCTCTCTCTCTCTCTCTCTCTCTCTCTCTCTCTCTCTCTCTCTCTCTCTCTCTCTCTCTCTCTCTCTCTCTCTCTCTCTCTCTCTCTCTCTCTCTCTCTCTCTCTCTCTCTCTCTCTCTCTCTCTCTCTCTCTCTCTCTCTCTCTCTCTCTCTCTCTCTCTCTCTCTCTCTCTCTCTCTCTCTCTCTCTCTCTCTCTCTCTCTCTCTCTCTCTCTCTCTCTCTCTCTCTCTCTCTCTCTCTCTCTCTCTCTCTCTCTCTCTCTCTCTCTCTCTCTCTCTCTCTCTCTCTCTCTCTCACACACACTCTCACACACACACACACACACTCTCTCTCTCTCTCTCTCACTCACTCACTCACTCACTCACTCTCACTCTCTCTCTCTCTCTCTCTCTCTCTCTCACACA